TAATGCAGAATTCAAGCCACCAGCTAGGTCAGTGATGGCGAACCTTTTCAGCACTGAGTGCCCAATTCGGAACATGCGTGCATGCACGTGCACACACTGGAAACCCAAAGATGAGCTGGCCAGTGCGCATGCATATGTTGGCCAGCTGGCCTTTGCACACACCAGAGCACCAGAAACCCAAAGACCAGCTCGCCGATGCACACATGCCTGTTTTGGGGGCTTTTTTTTTGGTCATTTGCAGGCCGTTTTCCAGGTCTTTTTCCAGCCGTTTTTCGGGTTTTCCAGCCTGAAAATGGCCCAAAAAACAGCCAAAAAACAGGAATGCATGCACCAGCCAGTTGGTCTTCAGGTTTCTGGCACTCCAGGCCGTTTTGGGCCATTTTCCAGCACTCTGGCACCCGCAAAGATCAGCTGACCAGAGAGCATGTGCGCGCTGGAAATCAGAAGATCAGCTGGTGACAGCAAGAATGCCCACATAGAGAGCTCTGTGTGCCACCTCTGGCACTTGTGCCATAGGTTCACCATCACAGACCTAGGTCATTGACCCCCAACAGCCACCAAATTAATGGACTCAATTCCAATCCTCACCTTGGAAACTCCTATCTCTTACTGGAAGGATCTTCATACATTTTACACTAAATCCTCCTAGAAGTTAAATTCCTTAGGTTCATAGCCACATAGGTGTTTGAAGTTCATTATCTTTTCACTACCTACATCAGCTTACTTTAAATGTAGGGTGTGTTAGTTGATTCCATTGTATGTTTGTTATGTTGCATTGGCTATTGTATTATTGTTTGCTCTTATTTTGTAATTAAGAGATTTTTGTTGTTGTTGTTGTTGTTGTCATTATATTTTGACCCATCTATGTAAGACGGATGCTCATACAAATTTTAAATAAATAAATTCCAGGCATCTCAGAGTCAGCCAGTTGTCATATGGTGACTATTCTTAGGGCATATTCATCAGCTGGCAAATAATGAGGCATCTTCTCTTTCATGCCTCAAGAAAAATTGTCATAATGCTAGCTTGCTCCTCAGAACTGGGTGGGACTTTTTCCAGAGGGGTCAACCAACTGGATGGATGAATTCTAGTGATATATTGGCCTCTTTGCTTGTCATGGTCTCCTGATCAAGACAACAGAAATAGTTTCAAATGTACTATTTGAAGTATTCCAGATGCCACCTTTAAAAAGTCAGCCCAGAATTTTAAAGCTCTATAAGAGTCTTAGGCTGTCTTAGGCTGTCATCAGGAAAATCCACGTGGCAGGCTGTAGGCTTAATTTGCTCCTTGAGTAAGATAAAAAGAATCTGAATATTGGACAGGATGTAGTTTCTCCTATCATGATAAGATACATGGTAACCTTTGGTCATTATACTATTCCTTATCTTTGGATGTTGGACATATATTATATAGCCTGCTGTCAGGTCATGTTTATGTGATCTAGTAGATTCTTGAATGCTCTGAGAAATTTTTGGAAGCCAGAGCTGATGGTTCTGTGAAAGGTTTTGTTAAATGTACAAACAGAACTGGCCACTGACATAATTTCTTCCAAGGTTAACTTCTTCCTGCTTTTTTGTGAAGCTGCAGGACATAAACAGGTCAGGAGAATAGGCAGATAGTTAGGATGATGTAAAATTTTCCAAACAGCTAATTATGAAATCCCATTATGCATGTAACTATGTCTATTGCATGACAGTGAAGACCACAAAAAAACAAAAACAAAAAAACACAAACTTGTGAAGATAAAATTATTTGCCTCTATGCTGTCTTGAACATTGTTTTTGACATAGTATGGGTAAAGTATCCAGTACACTTTTAAAATTTATATATGAGTTGTAGATGCAGATACAGCTTGTTCATCCTATTACATGCTCTCTTGATTCCTGTCCATTTTTCATTTACTTGAGTTAGTTGATGGGGTAGGCAGGGTTTGGGGAACACCTCTTTGCATTACTTATTGTTTATCAGATGTGTATGTTGCTTTTCCTCCAGCTATGGTCAGGCTTTCTAACATTAGCACAAACTAGCTATAACTGTCCAGAGACTTAGACAAATATGGGTAGGAATGAAATGTTTCTTGTGATCTAAAACTATAGCTGTAAAAGAGAGTTAACAGTCTCTCAGTAGGCAGAATTTATGATACAGAATTTATATCCAGCCCTACTTCAAATCTTGCATGTTTGCTCCTTATGCTTTCTTCCTCTTATATATAAAAATCTTAGCCTTTCTTTTCTCATATCCCAGGCTTTGTTGCTAAGCACTGCAGAAAGGCAGTGGCATTTCTGTTTTCATGCTAAGACAATTCCCTTTTGCTAGGTACTTCTGACATGAGCTCAAGGCAGCTTACAGAAAGATCTTTCATTTTAGCTCTACAACAACCCTGTGAGATAGACTGGATAAGAGGACTGGATAAAAGACACAGTGAATTTGCTGAAGAAGTTATGCCTGGATTCAGAAGATTTTGCCAACTACCACTGAAATATTAAATTTTTGAGCAAAATGCTCAACAGGATGGTCTCAGTACAACAGCAAACATCTTGGGAAGATACCAAGTAGTTTGATATTTTTTTTAGTTTTGGTTTGAGGACAATTTAACCAAGTTTGTCCTGACAAAGGGAATGTTCTGAAGCAGACATATTTTCCAGACTGATGAGCATCAATTTTTTTTACAGAGATCTCCAGAATGTTTTTATTATCAGTGTATATAATTTATTTCGAATCATTGCAGTAAGAACTTCACCGTGATAAGGAAATTTAATATATGTGAGATTTCCATAGGATAGGATTGCTAATTTAATAAAATGTTTACACAATTGAACAAGTTGTTTGTTAGAATTGACTAAGCCGAAGGGATTATTATTTCACACTGCCACATCTCATATTGGATGACTCAGTTACGAAATAAATGAAAAAGGCATTAAACAGTGAGTGATTTGTTGATAAATCTCTATATCTTAGTAGGACCCAAATGAATTTAGCAGAAAAGATATGCAGACATCCAGAAAAGGTAAGCGATGAAAATCCGAAAGGTTTTCTTGCCCCAAATTATACAAACATAATGTATCAGTTTGTACAGAAGGGTTCCATAAAGATTTCAATGATTTAGATTCCTAGTTCCTGATTTATCAATTGATTTATTGTGTGCATTATAAACCAGTACAGAATTAATCCAAGTTGGTCAGCATAAAAAGATTACACTCAAAAACAACTATGGGTAATAATATTTATGTACAAAATATGTACTTACTGTATAATCATATAGAAGATAATTCTGCACTCTTCATGGTAGTATTAAAAGGATCAATTGTAAAGCTAACTTTGGAAAAAAAGAAGTAGCATTATGTGCCAATAGTAATTTGGCATATGGACCAAAATGTACAATTTAAATGGACTCTTGAAGCACAGATACCTAACCAGAAAATTACAGAAAAACATATAGATGTTCTGCATTACTTACACTTTTTCACAACCAGAAGCATAATTACTTCCACCAGTAGTCTATTTAACTGATTTTACTTGTCTTGCTTTTCCTAAATGTTGAAGCATGGCAACTGGAACAAAATTTGTTAAACTGAGACATTTTGCTTCCCATTCAGGAAGCTTCATCAGTTAAAATAAAAAATTTACTTAGGCAGAGGGTCATGAGAGTCCTTGGAATGTACCAACTCTTGCAACACCAACTTCAGTGGTTTCTCCCCAAAAGTTTAACAAATTTTGGTCCAGTTACCATGATTCAATCTTTTACATACTTTTGCCCTGGATGATTGAGTCTTCATTGACACATTGCAATACATTTGGGGGGGGGGGAAACCCTGACATTGGTGTGGCAATAGTTGGTACATTCCACCGATTTTCTCACACTCTAACTAACTAATTTTTTATTTTATTTTATTTTTATTTGACTGATGAAGCTTCCTGGATGGGAAGCAAAACATCTTAGTTTAACAAATGTTGGTCCAGGTGCCATGGTTCAACCTTTTAGATACCTTTGGCCTGGATGTGTCTTCATTGACATATTGTTTTGCTTTTAATTTTGATTTAGAATGCAATAGTTTTTTAGGTAGTTCTAAATGCACAACCATTCATTTAGCAACTGTTCAAAGTTACAATGGCATTGAAAAAAGTGACTTATGACTGGTCCTCACACTTATGACCATTACAGCATTCCCACAGTCATATGATAAAATTCAGGCTTTTAGTAACTGGCATGTATTTATGATGGTTGCAGTACCCTGGGGTCATGTGATCACCATTTGTGACCTTCCCAGCTGGTTTCTGACAAGCAAAGTCAATGGTAGAAGCCAGATTCATTGAATGACCTCTAATTCACTTAGCTGCAATGAGTTGCTTAAAAACTATGGCAAAAAGGATGTAAAATTGGGTATGACTCACTGCCTTGCTTAGCAACTGAAATTCTGGTCCCAATTTGGGTCATAAGTAAAGGACCACCTGTATATGCGATTTTATTATACTTGAGTAGAAAGAGTCTGTTGATATTTAGAAGCCCCATCCCTTTTGACTGCTTAAGGAACAGGTTCTGTACACCGAAAGAGTTTGAGCCAGGGGTGAAATCCAGCAGGTTCTGACAGGTTCTGGAGAACTGGTAGCGGAAATTTTGAGTAGTTCGGAGAACCGGCAAATACCACCTCTGGATGGCCCCAGAGTGTGGTGGGAATGGAGATTTTGCAGTATCCTTCCCTGGAGTGGGGTGGGAATAGAGATTTTGCAGTATCCTTCCCCTGCCACGCCCACCAAGCCACGCCCACCAAGCCACGCCCACATAAACGGTAGTAAAAAAAATTGGATTTCACCACTGGTTTGAGCCCCCACGTTTGAAGACTAGCAAGAATAAAAAATTGCCAAGTGATTTGGCAGTGTTAAATCTTAGTTTAAAGAAAGACAGCATATATTTAATGCTATTAGTATAGCAATGGCTCTGTGAAAATCCCATATGAAAAGTGTACTTCCAAAATAGAAATTAAAACAATACACAAAACCAATAGGATGGAGAGTTTCTTTTATATCAGATGTAGCTAATTGTAAAACATGCCTGGAATAACCTTTACATACAGTCAGTGAGGTTAATCTATCTAAAAATGTCTTGTAATATTTAGATCTCGATGCAAATAGAAGAAAATTTGAATCTATTGTTTTTTAATCCGTGGGAATTCTAAAGTGGATGGGGGAGAATAAATGTGATACAAAGTAAAGATAGTAAGGAGACAAGTCCGTTTTTTCCTGTGAGCAAAAGACAGCTTTCTATGATGTAACACATTAGGATTACTCCCACATCCATCCTTCAGCAGCTGAACCAGTTTCTTTTTGGCTCAACTGCTTTACACTTGAAAGCAACGTGAGGCTAGTTTAATTGCTTGATTTGCTGCCCTTCTGGGGAGCTTGCACAGAAGCAGTTTCTTCATTTCTGGAAATTCTTGTCTCCTGGAAGTTTGGCTGCAATGCTAAAAAGTCTTTCGAAGAGCAGAGCTGGATTGACTCTTCCAGCTCCCAGAAACTGGCACAGATTGTCAGACAAATAAACTTAAACCGAAATAAGGAGGTGGATTGGGGTGCAAGCACTGTAAAACATTTTACATCCCTTTATAACCTAGGATGCAGTTGGAAAAAGTGAAAAGCATTTCTGTACCCCAATCTCTCAAAGCTGTTGCACAAAATAAACTAAAAAGGCAACCCTGCTGTATCCTAGGATTGTTGGCAATGAAGGCAACAGCTAATCAGTTTAAAACAGCTTTGAAGGGATTGGGGACTAGAACTGATGGCAGAACTGTAGAAATATTTTCTACTAAGCATCCTCTAAAAAGATATTTAATTCTTCCCCTGATCTGAAATGGCCCTTTCTAACTTGGGAGGAAAGATCAAGTATTGACAGCAGCTTCAGTTTTCCTTTTCTCTCCTGCAGACCCTATGGGAGATAGAGGATGAAAAGCAAGAAACTCTCCCTAATCACTTGGAAGAGGAATCCTGCAAGAGGCGGCTCGCGATGAGGCCAGAATTTAGCCCCAAACATTGCTATAAATCAGGGGAAAGAGTACGAGTAATTTACAGTTGCAGTTTTAACATAAGTTTGCCAATAAGTCTGCCCTTTTGCTGCCTCTCAAGTGAAACCGGTACCCTCCCGCAAGCCGCGAAGAGCGGCTCATGAATTTTACTTCGCTTTACAACCTAAGATGCAGTTGAACAAGTGAAAAGCACTCCTATTTATCCTGACTCTGAGCAGGGAGATGCGGAGAACTGCTCTCCGGGATCTCAGGGCCCATCCAGACCATCGGAGGAAAACGCGGATACGCGAGAAAAGTAGGGTGGTGCTGTCTTTGCTCCGAAGTAGACCGATCGAGCGCAAAAGCGAGCGGAGGCGCTCGCTGTAACAACGGGACAGGTGGCTCCTCTGCCTTTGCAGCAGCTTCACCCTCCTAATAAAGGAAAAGGCGTTAAGCAAAGCGGCACCTCGAACTGTATTAGCGCAATCGGGTTACAGCCGCCCTGTCAACGGGACTCTCGCAGGGCTCTCCTGAGTCCCTTCGCAATTCCTTCGCCGCATCCTGCCAGACTCCGTCGTGTTTTTCACCTTTTCTTTGGCCGCCCAACGAGAAGGAAGAGCTGCCGGCTTAGAGACGGGAGCTCAGCAGCAGGCGCCTCCGCCTCCCTCCGCAGGCAACCTCCGCCCTACTTCGCCTAGGCGGGGGATGCTACTCGTGTTCCTGACTGCCCTTGACACCAATCCTTCGCAGCGGGAGCAACAGCAGCCGCAACAACAAAAGCAGGCGAGGACAGGTCGGGTGACCGCGAGCTGCTTCCCGCTCCTCCTCCTCGACCTCCGGTTGAAGGCAGCCTCAGACCGGCTGCACAAAAGGCCGCTCAGCCGCCGCCTTCTCCCCCTCACGTTGCGGATCACGTCACGGGAAATAAATAAATAATCCCATTCACCCAGTGACAGGGAGCAGGAACCGGCGCGGCAGCGGCAAGCTTAGAGCCAACTCAGCCCAAGCTAGAGAGAGAGAGAGAGACGAAGCCAGGTAACGTAAAAGAGATCCATGCAGTGGGTTCTTTAAGGCAAACCCTGTCCCCCTTGGCGCAGCTTGGGAAGGGCGGCTGGGGTGGAGGCAAGGGGCGGTAGCAGCAGCCTGCGATCTGTTTATTTCTAGCCAAGCGTGCCCGTTGCCTACCGCTTCGTGTTTCTGTCCATGCTCCTAAAACGCTGCTGACCTCGGAGTGCGTGTCACTGTATAGGAACGTTATGACCCGTCTGCCCACCGTTTCCCACCCCAGGCACGGAAGGCAGAGAAGAGTGTCCTTTTTGCCACCTCGCGGCGGCTGCTGCTGGGGTTGGAGCGCATTGCTTTGGATTGGTGGGCAAACCCCTCGTTCACCATGTGGATGCCTCCCTCATGGGCCGCTTTGCTAAGTGTACGTGTGGGCGAAAGCGGGAGATGCGTGGGAGAGGTTCTAGTGAACCGTTGGTAAAGCCGAAGGACTAAGGCTGCCACAAAATTGAACGAACAAAGAAACCCTCAAATCTTACCACCTTCTCCGGCACTTGCAGAACTGCTTGCCCTAGGACAGGGGAGGTAACCGCACAAACCCCGCCTCCCCCCCTCCAATTTGATAGATGACCAGTGGCTTGTGAAATTGCCAATCGCCCCAGTAGACAAAAAGATACACCTTAGGCCGCGTACACGAGGGGGCATGGGGACACTTACTCAAGTTCCCCTTTTTTTCCCACCCCGACCCAGACATCACGCTATGGGGCGATACGGGAGCCTAGCCGAGGACCCTTTTGTTTCACGCCGAATGTCAGATTAACATCCCTCCTCTTCCGACTCCGCAACATTTTGCACCCGAATCCCCTATGCTAGGAAACTAAACAAAACCAGTTTTACCTTTATAAGAGGCCATAGCCTCTAGCATTGCAATTACGTTTCCCTCCACCCGGACCTAAAAGCAGCCATCTTGAAAGCACTTCTGAATGGGCTTCAATTTACTGGGATAAGCACCGCAGGTTGTTTGGGGACGGGTGACAAGGCCGGCGCACGCCGTCGTCTATACCTCTGGGGCCAGTCCGTTAATTGTGCGCTGCCGCAGGACCAGGACTAAGGCGGAGATTAAGGCGGCGACAGGAACAGCCGCAGCATCACGCGTCCTTTCTCCGTATCCAGTTCGTTGGAAAGTCCGGCCCTTTCCCCCTCCTCTTCAATTCCGGGAGAAACCGGTTGACCGTGATGGGCGAGGGGTGTATATTTCTGCCCAGGCCGATGTGTATCGAACCCTTTTGGGTCTGCTTGGCTTTAGTTCCTATCACATCCCAGGGTGGGTGGGTGGCAAAATCTCGGTGCCGCAAACGTATGATTTGGGCCACGATCGGGCAGTTCTTGTTTTCAGGCCCCACCTCGGACTTGGCCAATGGGAAACGCGCGGAAGCTGCCCAATGGAAAGGCACCGTCTTGATCCATCTGTGGAGGGAGGGATGCCGTGAGACGGAGGCTTGACTGACTTGCTGTCACCGGTTGGTTCTTGCTGGTTTGGAAGCGATCTGAGGCCACGTGGAGTGTCGTTGAACAGCTGGGATGCTATCAGCCAAAGGAGGTCAAGGGCATGTGGGGTGACCCGCTCATAGAAGGTTTTTCAATGCTACCCTTCCACCCAGGGTGGAAATTGTTGAAAGTACTACTTTTTAGGTAAAATGTTCTGGAGCTTTCAGAGAAAAGTGAATTGCCCTGTTTTTGGAATTTCTGTGTATGTGGATGAGGAAGAAGGATGTGTGTTTGTTCCTGTGTGTGTTACTAACTGAGAACACCCTGGTATATTTTTGTGACATCTTTTGTGACAATTTATGATGACATAAGCTTTCCTGCACTCAGTCTACCTTACAACCACCAAACCTGTATTTAGAATAGCAGTGAAAGAAGAAATGGGCAACATTGGTATTTTACTTAAATTTTAAGCAAAGCCCCAGCCATATTGTATGATACAGATATTTTTAATGAAAGCTCCCACTCCATGAGCACCTCAAATGATACGTCCATCATTAAACTATTTATTAATAATCAAATGATTGCAACTGGTTCAATTTCAACTCTGCTTTCCATTTTTCTCTAAACATACCACATACTCTGCAAGATTTCCAAACAAAACATTTAAGCACCTTAGCACCAGTTACATAATAGGTCGTATTTTTCGGAGTATGAGACGCTCTAGAGTATGAAATGCACATATGTTTTTGGGGAGGAAAACAAGAAGAAAAAATTCTGCCTCTGTCTATCAGCATCCATCGGTATTCATCTGACTACTGTCCTTGCAGCAAACAGCAAACAACCTGGTCAGCTTCAGCACGTTATCGCAGCCTGATTCAGCAGGAGCAGCTGATTGGCGGTTGGATCAGCTTCCTGGAATACCGCCAATCAGCTGTTCCAGGCTGCGGGGATCACCACAACCCATTGCCGCCACTGTGCATTGCATTTTTAGCCTCCATGTGTCGTGTTTTTGTCTTTCGCATGCCAGATTTTCAGCCTCTGCACTCCACGTTTTTGGCCTTCGCGAGCTGCATTTTCAGCTGGTTCCAGGTGAAAGGGATCAGGGCTACGATCATTTCACTTCACCTGTTCACATTGTTTGTTTGTTTTCTCAGTGAAGCAATATGAAAATGTGTTGACATGCATGAGAATATACTTTAGGAATAATGACCAAATAGGACTTTTTTGAAGAATTTGCAAAGCCCTTTCTGTTTCTCAGGATGAATATGATGGTCTTAATTTCAAAATCAGAATGCCACTAAATGGAGGAAAATAAGAACATAAGTGCAATATTGGTGGATCAGACCAAGGACTATTTTAGTCTAGCATATTATTTCTAAGAATTGTCAACAAAACTTGTCATTAAATATAATAAAGAGTATGATTTGATTAGTTGAATTATCAACCAGGTGTTGCAGAAGCTTTCCAGGAGGAGACATAGGCCTCTCCCTTTCAAGTAGTGTTTGCAGGCTTATATTTGTTTGTTTGTTATAACTCTTCTTCTAGTCTACATGATCCTTGTTCTGAAGTGTTTTGCCTCCCCTTTGCTATGAGCCTCTTGAGCAAAGGAGAGTATGGATTGTAGCCAAAGTCTGTGCCCATCAGCCATATTACACAAATGCACTTGAGCTGCTAACCCAACCAATTCAAAATGCACAAGCTATTACTAGAATTAACACAGGAAACTAAACATTAGTAAGAATCCAAATACTGATTATTTTCAAATCAGGACAGAGGAACAATCCATGTCCCGAGCCCTCCAGAGATCATCAACCAATGCGACCAATGCCGTTTCCGTGCTATACCCAGACCTAAAACCCAACTGGAACGGATCCAGATAATCCACTTCATCCAGGTGATGAGGAAGCTGTCATGCTACCACACTCTCAACAACCTTCACCACGAAATGAAGGTTGGAGACAGGACGATAATTTGATAAAACAGGGCACAGTAATGTGTTTGAAATAACTGATGTATCTAGATAATCAGCCCAGCTAGTAATAACTCAAGATTCTTCCTAATTCATGAGTCAAATGAGGGTTATTTTAATAGACTAAAAAGGAAACATGTTTTCTTTTCCTTTTTTAGGTAAGTCTGTTAGTATGCCCTTTATAGCCAAGGAATGTATATGTGAGTAGCAAGGCCTTGTCACTGTACTAAAACACCACATTTTATCGCTTTGTAAACCTACAATTGAATTTCCTTTTTAAAATATAATTGCTTAAGATGCCCCCTCTTTTTTCCTTCATCATCTCTGACCCTGAATGATAAATTGTTGCTATTGTTGGTTAATCATACTTAAGACTAAACAAACTTCTAGATTATGTTGATAGCCATATGGTATCATCAACATTTTAAATGGTTTGTTCAGGGCCGGATTTTCCTATAGGCTAACTAGGCTTCAGCCTAGGGCCTCAAGATCAAGAGGGGCCTACATTCCCTACATTCAAATTGTTAGCAAAATTAAAATTACACTTTCACTATAGGTGAAAGGGCCTCATAAGTGGAATAGCCTAGGGCCTCTTTTCATCTAAATCCGGCCCTGGGTTTGTTATATAGTTATGTCCTTAAATCCAGGATAGGATGGGGGACAGTTTGAAATATTGGTTATTAAGTCTTTTGTTAGGAATCAGTTAAAAAAAACCCTCTTTCTTCATTTATATTATATTGAAAAAATGTCACCCATTTCTTCATATCTTCAAAACAGGATGCTGTTTTTATATGCCCTTCTCAGGGTATGCAAGAATTTCTTTTTACTATGTTTTAACCTTTTTATTGCAAGATAGCAAAGGCTGTTGATGGCTCTGCCCTTTGTAAACCCACTGTGATTAACATGTATACAGATATTGCGTATCTCTCAGCATAGCAAGATCTCATAGGATATAAAATGACACACCTCTGAGTTATTAGTGGCTTCATTTCACCAGTGACAAGACCTCTGATGTATGAAGAAGGCCACAGTTTTATTACCATAACTTGTGCAGAGACTTCTTGGATCTTTCAATAGCAACTTGCTTTTGTTTCTGTTAATGGTTCAAGAATCTATCCAAAACTCCAGCACACACAGACTGAAAAAGATTCTGGAACCAGCTCTAGAAAAATGCTTGTCCTATCAAAAGCTATATTGTGATCTAAATTCTAGTTCTGTAGCAACAATTATAAATTCTATATATCTTGTTTTCTCCATTACTATACTCCATTCTTTTCCTATCCTCTATTTTAGAAGAATTATGTTAAGTGACATCTGTTCTTTCAGTGAAAAAAGGTTGTTAGCTAATTTCAGGATTTTGGTGCTTGAATTTAGGAATTGCTATTGTAGCTGAAGGAAGAAAAATGGTTCCCAGTAAAAACTTGAGCAGGAGTTTGCAGACTTTGAGGACTGAATGATAACCCACAGCAGAATAATCCAGATTTTTAGAGTGAAATTTAATTGATTTTATTGAAGAATAAAAGGTTGGAAGAAAGTTTCCATTATTCTCAATTGTTCTTTAAATTGGAAAAATATCACTGTGATTTAAGTGATTTGTGTAATTATATTATTACACAAATAATGCAAATCACTATACAAATTTAATAATTGGATATAAAGTTATATAAAGCGTTATAAAGGTAAAGTAGTCAAGGTTTCATAATATTGCAATTTTTCATGTCATACTAGAATATAAACATGTTAAAATTATTATGCTTCAATCCTACAGACTTCCATCCTATGATATAGCAATAGCAATAGCATTTAGACTTATATACCCCTTCGTAGTGCTTTACAGCACTCTCTAAGAGGTTTACAGAGTCAGTATAATTCCCCAACAATCTGGGTTCTCATTTTACTGACCTCGGAAGGATGGAAGGCTAAATCAACCTTGAGCCACTCAGGATTGAACTCCTGGCAGTCAGCAGAATTAGCCTGCAATACTCCATGTTAATCACTGCATCACCTTAGCTGTATGCATGATGGTATGATAGATAAATTTAGAGATGTCATAGTATGCACTGGATAAGATCAAGGAAACAGTTGCTACATAGGTGTCAGTAACTATCTTTCATGTTGGCTAATCCTCATTCATAGTGAGTTCATTGAGATGGATTTTCTTTGAATGATTTGAAATATTTCTTCCTAGGTTTCTTGCCATTTAATAAGTTGCCAATGGATTTGCCTTCTATCACTTGATTATTGTGCCTACTCTATTCCATTCCTTTCTCAAAATCCGCACGGTCTTTCCTGGCTAGGAAAGCAGATAAGTAGAACCTCTGATGGTACCCTTAACTTGTAAAGTGTTGATAAAGACTCAGTCATCCAGGCCAAGGGTATCTAAAAAGTTGAATCATGGCAACTGGACAAAAAATTATTAAACTGAGACATTTAGCTTCCCATCCAGGAAGCTTCATCAGTCAAAATAAAAAATTAGTTAGGCAGAGAATCAGAGAGTCTTTGAAATGTAGCAACTCTTGCCACATCAATTTCAGGGGTTTCCCCTCAAAAATTTAACAAATGTTGGTCCAGTTGCCATGATTCAACCTTTTGGATACCTTTGGTCTGAATGATTGAGTCTTCATTGACATAATACATTTTGGGGAGAAATCCCTGAAGTTGGTGTGACAAGAGTTGGTACATTCCAATGACTCTCTGACTCTCTGCCTAACTATTTCTTTTTTATTTTGACTGATGAAGCTTCCTGAATGAAAAACAAAACCTCCCAGTTTAACAAATGTTGGTCCAGTTGCAATGATTCAACTTTTTGATACTTAATTTGTAAAGTTTTACTGCAATTCACAAAATTAACTACATATTTACATGTGTTAAGAAGAACATGGTAACAATGACATACAACTACACTATGAATTTAGCAAATGGTATGGTAATACTATTAGTTCAAAAGTATTTAAAAATGGAAAAAAGTTAAAGCTTTAAAGGAACAGGTTTGGTGGAAATGAGAAGATAAGTTCTGGGAAGCTATATGTCAATGAAAGCCAAATGCTATATTTCAATGTGCTGAAATATAGTGGACGAAGTAGAAATATTTATTTAAATATAGAAATATGAAAAATTGTCGAGAAATTATAACTATTAAGCAATATGCAAAAAAATACAGTCCCTAGTTGATTAAAAATATTTGGAGGGACTTCAAGAGCAGTTGCTACTCCAGTCTGCCAACACTTGGATTTGTACTTAGAATCCATATTCACACAAACTAGGAACTATTGGATATTATGTTGTGTTGAAAGGTTATTGTATATATCAAAGTTAATTGGACTCTTGGACTTCTTACATGAAAGACTGGTAGGCCGGCTGCAAGAATTGGAGTTTGGAGCATACCTATTTACTATACAGATTTTCTACTTAGTTTGATTATTCTAAGATAAACAAAAGTAAATGTGAACAAAATTAGGCTTGTTTAGAATAAATTGTTGACCAATTAGTTGCACTGATTGATCCAACCTCTTAATAGTAGTCAGTAACAAAGTCCTAAGTTTCCTCTTTCACTTCACCATTAAATACAGAACTGGTAACTCATAATAGAGGATGCAAGCTACTGAGAAACAAAAATGATGAAAGGAGCTTATAAATTAACCTGTTTTATTTATGGAACAATCCCTTGAAGAAACATCATCAATAGGAAAAGATTTTGTCTCTGGTGTGACAAAATGTGGTATTAAAATACTTCAAGATACCAAATGTGGTATTAAAATACTTCAGGAAAGGTAAGGAAGACTTATATTAAAGAATTGGCCTAACCACCAGAATGAATTGTGCATGTGCACACAGCAGGTTAATGCTAGTATAAGATCTAAAAATGAGCCTACAAGCCAAGCTGATCTTATTTTGAACCACAAAGTAAGTGTGTTTGTGTTTAAACACAAAGACATGTTGATACCTAATCAAAATGAATCTGGATATATTTAAATTCAAAAGCAGTTACAGACTTCAGAACAAGAGACTCAGTGGCTATAAGGACTTTGATAAATTGAAACAAAGGGATAAATTGGTGAATTACTGGGAATGAAAACCATTCTGGGAGAAATTCCAGGTTACTTGGTTTTACTTAAACCTGTTAACTTGAATGCTGTAAGCCACTCTTTAGGAGAGTATTATAATATATATTATATATTATAAACATCCCCATGTTTTGATGGATTAACAAAAAACATTGGCAGTCAGATAGGTTTTTGTATATATCTGCAGTTCCATGAAAGTAACTACTTTCAAATTAATCAATAGAGGAAGTAAATCAACAATTAGATTCTGACCTTTTCAGGGCTCTCCTCTTGTGTCTGACAATCTTTGTATTGGTTGTGTTTTCCAGACTAGAATTGATTATTTAGCCAAACTGGGAGGAAATGTCAGTTAAATTCTGAAGTGCCAACTAACTGCATGAGATACAGTGTATCTGAAGTCTATTATAACCTTTTATTAGAATTCAGTCAGAACCAAATTGAAAATTATATTAGTTGGCTTGTCCATATGCAACTATTCCTGCTCAAGGCAAACTATAGCAAACTATAAAAGTTATAAAGGTTGAACATGGTTCGGTGATGGTCTTTGAGAATATGCTGTTCACATAGCACTTTACTATAGTAGGTTTATTTCAAGCTATTTCAAAGCTTATTGGAGTAAGTTATACTTTAATTATATGTTTCTATATTATATTCAGTATTAAATTATACATTATACTGGGAAGTAGAAGAAATAAGAAACTTATTTCATATTTCCCAAATATTAAATGCAGAAGCTCTTCTGAATCTCTAATTTTGCTATGCTTAATAAGATGTGTGTACATAAGCTGTTTTGCATGTATGGAAAAACCTTTGATTCCGTGTAATAACCGGAACATTCCTATGAGCAAAAAGCTACTGACATAATTTCTAGGGGTAGTTTTAAATACCACTTGAACAAAGTATGTATTCTAATTAAATTATGCAGGTACTTATTTCATGTGCATCCTGAGTTCTAGGTTAATTGGGATAGTCTTGAGAAAAAAAAATTAAATGACTATTGCATATATCAGAAATGATAATATTTTTTTAATTGCTAGCTGTGTCAGTGGGAGAAGAGTGCAGGAAAGTATTCATGTTCTAGAAGAAGCACCAAGTGCTTGTGAAAATGGAACTACTGGAAAATATATGGAAAATAGAGGCATTCAGAAAGGAGATCAAGAGAGTAAATATTTTATCAGTCTGAATTTATTTTATAGCTGCAAATAACAAAACAAATTAAGACTCTGTGATTGCTTACAAGTACCTATAATGTTGAACCACTAGTCAACAATATAAATTGTAAATGCCTAACATTAACCTCAGTATTTTACCACATCACAATACAGTTTCTGTTCAGAAGTGAAAAAAATAAATGATTTAGTTGGAATTGGGTATGTCTAGTCTAGTGAAAAGAGACTAAGGGACGACAAGATAACAGTGTTCCAATATTTAAAGGACTGTCAGAAAGAAGAGAGGGTCAATCTATTTTCCAAAGCCCCAGAAGGCAAGACAAGAAACGAAGGATGGAAACTAATCAAAGAGAGAAGTAATCTAGAACAAAGAAGAAATTTCCTAACAGGGAGAACAATTAACCAGAGGAACAAGTGGCTTGCCTTCAGAAATTGTGAATGGTCCAGCATGGGAGGATTTTAAGAAGAGACTGGACAGCCCCTTGTCTGGAATTGTATAGGGTATTGGACTAGAAGACCAAGGTCCCTTCCAACTCTTGTTCTCTTATAAATGGCATATCTGAACAATTCAATATTATTGTTCAGCTTACCTCTAACACTTGGTTCTGATTCTACTCACAATCAGTATTTCCTCCTCTTTAAAGACGCTGATGTTTGCAAAGGAAATAGTGGAAGGAACACTCTTCCCATTGGCTAAATTTAATGCTTTGCACTGCAGTTGGTGAATTATCTATTTGTTTTTCAAGTCACTATTTCCAGCCAATTGTTTTAGAGAAAAATAATGGTTCATAGGGACTTTGGTTTGGTACAAAAATCTTTCTTATTTATCAAACTAAAATCTGCTTTAGGTAATCACTCAAATGCATGTTTCTAATCTATTCTTATGATATCACTCAAGAAAATTCATTATATTAGGAACTATGTTTTAGGAACAGAGTTGCAAGGCTTGAAGGCATTTGTAACTTATTTGGATATGTCGCATATTGGGATATCTAAGAAATTTGTCCTTGATACTCAGCCTCTAATGTGTAAAATGTAGATAGTGAAAAGGACAAAGTATAATGCAGTCAGAGTCCTTATATTTCACATTGGCACCATTCATTATCTTTTTCAATGTTGTTTTTACATTTTTAGCCACATCATTTGTCCTCTCTCAAGCACCTAAATAACAACTCATTCCAGCTGGTGACGTAGGCCGAAATACGCTTCGTGTTTCATGAACAGGCTTATCAGCATGTCAGGTTATGTGGAACTTTTCAGATATGCAGCCTGACACAGTAATGCTCAATGTCATCTAGTGCCTGCCAGTATATATTTCTACATATTAAGGTAAACAATCATCAAATTGCCTTTTTGCTCAATTAGTAATCTAATTGAATCATGATGATATTTGCCTTTCTATTTCTTAGCATGTAACTTCAAATTAATTTAATTTCACATTTATTGTATACAGTGGAAATACAGCAATATGTCGGGTTACCAGTGACAGTAACAGAAACTTAAACAGAAATTAATTCACTAAAATAGACTAATGAAGTATTTATTTTACATGAAAACACCCAGTAACTATAAAGTGACGCTTAAATCACCTCTGTAAATTATTACTTTTATTCTGCTAATAGTGAGATAAACATGAAAGAGGAAATATATACTCATCTATGTATAGTTTATTATAATACATGTACTAATCTAAAAGGATGTATTTATATAAGCAATCTAAATTAGTGGGTTATAAATAAATGAGTTGTAAGTGGTGCCATAGAATATGCACAGCATCTTTTTAAAATAGCTAAGTAAGACACAGTTGCTTCAATAAATTGATTTCAAAGGTTAAATTTTAAGTCATTTAAATGACTACCATTTATAAATACTATCTACATCTAATGCATATCTATATTGAGTCTTTCTAAAACAGTGTCTTTCTAAATTACAGTTCAATATACGGAACTGATATTTGATTCTCCATTTATTTGAAATTGCAATGAAAATATATAGATAACATAGAATGAAATCAGAAAACATATTCATCTGTCTATCCATATTTTTAATTGTCTGTCATATTCAATGTTGTCTCATTTCTTTTTTTTAAATTACGAGTGTCTTTTCATAAGCTTTTCTGAACGCTATAAGAAAGTTTGAGTAGGAAGGATATATTGTTCTGATTACAGTTACCAATCAGTTTGGATGTTATTTTGCTTCATGTCAGTGACGGTATTGTGAAGTCTATAGTTGCTTTCCTGTGCTCATTTCCTTTCCAGTGCCAACCTCTTAGGAGGTTATCTAAAAGTTGACATTTGGCACTTTTGAAACTGTGGCACAGTATTGGGCTTTTTTCATTGACAGTTAGATGGGATGAATGAATGGGCAAATACGGTGTAAAAAGAAATCATAAGAAGAAAGAAAGTACCTTTCTTAATGAAAAAAACCAGAAGAAAATATAATGAATATACTAAGAGACTTGGTGGCACAGCAGACTAAAGCACTGTTAAGTAACACCAGCTGCCTGCAATTACTGCAAGTTCAAATCTCACCAGGCTCAAGGTTGACTCAGCCTTCCATACTTTCGAGGTAGGTAAAATGAGGACCCGGTTTGTGGGGGCAATAAGCTGACTTTGTATAAAAAAGAACACCGCTGGGGGGGGGGTGAAAGCTATGAAGGCTATTGCTTAACGCATTGTAAGCCGCCCTGAATCTCCGGAGAAGGGCAGCATATAAATCGAACCAATCAATCAATAAATAAATAGATAGATATAATAAAAATGAACAAAATGAAGGGAAATAAGGAAAAACCATATAGTTACATACAGAACCTTATATGCCACCCTAGTTCATACAAAGTATATTGTGGATTACCATATAAGAAGAGAGATTCTGCTACAGCATTTCATGGAAAGCAGTCTAGATTCATATTCTTTTAGTTATTTACTTCATCTGCTTAAGATGAATTTTAGGCACTCACTTCTATGGGGTAAAAGTCCAGTTTTATGGATTTTAATTCAAAAGCAATTTTCCATAAAATACTATTTGTGTGATTCTGAGCCATATTTTCATTCCTGCAGAATGAAGGGGTTGGGGTCCCCCCCCTCAATTCTGTGTTTTGTCTGAACACACAGCATTTTTAGAAGTAGTGGACTAGAAACACTTCCAGAATTCTGTGATTTTTGTAAATTCTTGGCTGTTTTTCTGGAATTTACATCCAGTTATTATATAAGAGGACAGGTCACTTAAACATCTTTATATAAGAACAATGGAATGGAATGAGAATTAACTTTGTTGAAAATACAAGTTTGAGTTTCCATATTGCTGACCTATATTATCTTAATTTTTAAAGCACAAAACATATTTTTATATAATTTTTGGTAAAAGTAGGTAACGTTAGAAGCTATTTATTTAATTATGAGAGTTGTCCAACACCTGAAACCTTACAGCCTCTAGACCAGAGTTCCAGCCTTTCCAGGTCTGGTGGTGGTGGGGTTTTCCACGTGAGCACTCAGCAAATGTGCACAAATGGAGCACGCAATCACCTGCTGCTCATGCAAGTGGAGATGCATTTACGTGCCTATCACTTCTGGCTGCCCAGTTCTGAACAGCTCATGGCTTGGAGTGGGCCATGGCCTACTGGTTGAGAACCCCTGCTCTAGGCAACATACAGAATTTAGAAACTAAAATACAAAACTAACACTACAATTAATTAAAATAGTATCATCCATAATCTAATCTCTTAAATTAGGTTCTAAAATTAATTAGCTATTATTTTAAGCTGGTTATTATTAAGATCCAAAGGCCTTTTGAATAGTTACATTTTCACATGTCCAGAAAGTCACAAGGCCATTCTTGGTTCAAGGACAAATTACAAGGGAGAGGAGCTTTAGAGACAATGCCCACAGTTGGGTCCCTACCCATCAAACAGTAGATATAGAAAATCTACCACACCTCTGTTAAAAATTCCAAGTTTTTGAGATGTAAAAAAATTAGACCAAGATAAAACACTTCAGAATTTTCTCCACCTTTAATATTTTCAATTGCTTTTTTCAATGCTTATTTTTTTTCAATTTTTCAATTGCTTTTTAAGTTTAAATTCAATTTTTAATTTTTAAATCTTCAATTTTAAAATTCTTTTTTCACTTGTTTTAAAATTATTTTTTCAATTTTTCAATTTCCTTTTTCAACTAAATATTTGAAAAAAAACCAGTTTGCTTATTTTAATTCTTTTTAAAAAATTAAATTTTTAATGATCTAAGAGGAAAAAAATAAAAAATCACAGAAACGAGACAGACACTTAAAACAGAGAAGATAGTGATGAATTTTTCAAAACAGAGAAGAAAAGGGCCAAGAACTTTTGTAAGCTATTGCAAATTTTGTGACAGGGAAAATAATTTTTTAGAAATTATTTTCTAAAAAATGGCGCATTCCCCAACCCGTCGAGGCAAACAGCAAGTGGGAGGAGGCTCCGGGGCAAGGCCAGAGCTGGGGAATGGTGGATCCCTGGGCCCCAACCCAAGGTGAAGGATGAGTGGGCAGCATGCTTACCTTTGGTGAGCAGAGTGGGTGAGGCATGGAGGCGAGGCATGGAGATTAGCTGGGCCACGTGGTGAAGGCAAGATGTATAGGGTGGGGTGGGATGGGGCAGGACAGGGCGAGTGGGCAGGGTGAGCAGCAAGTGGGAGAGCGGATGGGTGGGGCGGGGCCAACCAGAGGTGGTATTTGCTGGTTCATAATTTCCGCTACTGGTTCACCCAAACTGGTTCAAACCAGCTGAATAACACCTCTGATGGTGGGATAAAACTCATGACTGGAATGCTCTGATGGAAGGATACAAACTATTCAAAAGAAACGGACCTAGCAAAAGAGGAGGTGAAGTTGCATTATGTTTAACTGATCACTACATCTCTATAGAAATCCAGAAAACCAAGGACTTTTCCTAGAGTCCATATGGGTCAATATAAAATGAAAAAAGAATAACATTGCTATAGGTGTATACTACAGGCCACCCAACCAAACAGAAGAAATAAAATGAACTTTTTGCTAAACAACTAACAAATGTACATAGGAAATATACCACAGTAGAAGTGAGAGATTTTAACTACCCTGATATCAACTGGGAGACAAACTCTGCAGCAACTGGGAGCTCAAACAGATTTCTAACCAACATAACTGACAACTTTGTCATCTAAAAGGTAGAGGAGGGAACTAGAGGAAAAGCTATACTAGACCTAATTCTTACTAATAGCAAAGAAGTTAAAGAGGGAATTGAAATTGCTTTCAACTTTGGGCAAGAGTGACCAGGTCATACTGGAATTCAATATAATGCAAACAAGCAATAGAACATAATACAGCCAGTGTATTAAACTTTAAAAGAGCTGATTTTAACAAACTCAGAGAGAGCCTAAGAAAAATTCAATGAATGAAAATCCTAAAGGGGAAAACAACTCAAGAAATGTGGGAAACTCTGAAAAATATGATCATAAAAGCCCAGTCCAGCAAAATACCACTAAAAAAGAAAAACAAGGAATCCAAGAAGAAACCAGCATGATTGCACAAAAATCTCTCTGATAAACTGAAAGACAAAAAGGACAACTACAAAAAATGGAAAGAGGGAAATATAACTAAGGCAGAATGCCAGCATATAGTCCGAATCTGCAAAGATGAAGTCAGGAAAGCTAAGGCTCAGAATAAACAAAGACTTGCAACAAAAGTCAAAGATAATTTTAAAAGTTTCTTTCAACATACAAATAACAAGAAAAAAGTGAAGGAAAAAACAGGTCTACTTAAGAGAGAAGATGGCAAGGAAGTAACAGGCAGTTGGGAGAAAGCAAAGCTGCTTAACTCACTCTTTGCATCAGTGTTCACTATAACCCAGCCTACTAAAAATCTAACTGTAAAAGACAGAGTAGAAATAAAAATTAAAATAAGCAAGAAAATGGTTAGAGAATGCCTATCTGATTTTGATGAATATAAATCACTGGGACCTGATGGTTTACATCCTGAGTTCTAAGGAGCTGGCAATTACCTTAGGAATTACCTGAGGACTGGAAAAGAGCTGATGTGGTTCCCATCTTCAAAAAAGGAAAAAAATAGTTCCAGGAAACTATAGATCAATCAGCCTAATATCAATACCTGGGAAGATACTAGAAAAGATAATCAATAAAGTTATAACTAAAAGCCAGCATGGGTTTGTTAAAAACAGATTGTGCCAAGCCAATCTTATTTCATTCTTTGACAAAGTGATTAAATTAGTAGACCAGTGAAATGCTGTGGACATAGTATACTTAGACTTCAGCAAGGCATTTGACAAAGTAAACCACAACCTACTTCCTGGTAAGCTAGAA